TTACATTTTTAAATCTCTTTTTGTGGCAGGTTATGGTGCACAAGCTGGCCCCAACAATGGACAACCAATTAAAGGCAATGGTATGAAACAAACACTAACACACACTCACACACACATATGCTAAACAACAGCACTGTTACATTTTAAATATCTTTTTGTGGCAGTTTATGGTGCACAAGCTCGTGGAAACGGCGGACAACCAACTAAAGGAAATGGTATTGTAGATATAACCTTTATCTATACTTACAGACACACGTCTAGTGTTATGATAATTGAAACATTTACATGATATACATACATATTAATGACAAAATACAGTATATTAAAAGAAGACATGGAAATAGTATGTAATACTGTGACATCTTGTCAGCTTGAATTGCTGGTATCACAAGAATAGTGGCTGGAAATGTTTTTGGGGAGAAATCATACACATACTGAGATTTAACTAAACTAAACTGTCTTTAATCTGCAGGTTATGGAGCACCAAATGGAAACGGAGGTCCTTACACTGGTAAGTCCGGTTTCAATATTTCCTGTCGACAGACCGTTGCTGAATTTAAAGTACTTTACACATTATGTATTGAACTGTAGATTATCTGTTTGAGGTCATTTTACTATTGTGCAACATTTCCAAATGAGTCTCTTAGTGTTGGTGTCTTTAATTGGCTTTAGGTTATGGTGCTGCTGCTGGAGGGAATGGAGCTAAACCCAATGGTGAGTGACCATTAATAATTTTATTTTTTAAATTACAAATAACAATATAAATTCATGGAAAACTATTTATCCTTTTATTTGTTTAGAATAAAATGTGATGTAGATTTGAAATCAGATACACTTCCATTAAGGGCTGAAACTTATATTTAATCATGGATTATATATAATTTTCTGATTAATACATTCACTACAAAGATAATTGCAAATGTGCATCACATGTAATGAGTCCCCTAAGTAATGATTCATAGCACAACAACCTTTCTGAAACGGAATGACACTGACCTTGTGTAAAAACCAGTTATGGCAACCTAATTGGCCATCGAATAAATATGTGTATTAGAATTGTCTTTTCTTTGAGTATTTGTTTTAACCACTTGTAGGCAATGGCGCTGCTGCTGCAAATAAAGGATATGGAACAAAAGGCAATGGTAGGGAAGCTCCCACAGTATTTTAATAACTATATCTATTGATTGGATGTTGATGATACTATCTGGTTGTGCAGTAAGTGAAATGATTGTTGGTTGGTCTTAAACTCTGTGTCTGTGTATCATAGATGTATTAAATCTCTCTTTTTTTGCCAGGCTATGCTGGTGGAGCTGGTGTACCTAATGGAAACGGGGCTAAAACCAATGGTAATGTCTGCCAAAAGTGAACTTTAAAGCACATATTTAGGTAAATAAATGTAAAAAGTATCTAATCTTTGAATATAATAATCGTCCTTTAGGTCAAGGAGCCGGAGCTGTACCATCAAACGGCAATGGAGGAATACCAAATGGTAGGGATTGGTTAAGAAAGAAGTTTTTGCAGCATAAAACAAGTTTGTCTGTTTACGTAACTTAAGCATGTCTCCTTTAACAGGCCAGGGGGGAGCTGGAATTAAAGCTATGAAAGCATATGGACGACCCACTTATGGCGCAGGTAACTCATCTTCTGCTGCATTGTTTTCCAAGTTATTGTAATATTTACTTTAATGATACATGTGTGGTTTAAGGTCAAGGAGCGTCCAGAGGGATGGGAGTGCCTCAGCTTGCCAGGAACCAAGGTGAGTGAAGGCCTCCTCACAGAACTGAAGTTACTACCTAATACACCTGTAACAATGTCTTTATTTGTTCTTCCAGGATATGGCGGCAATGGTTATGGAGCTCAACCCATGGGAGGTGAGTCATTCATCATAAGTCAGTGCATTTTGACATGACTTACAGCTTGAAGAATACAACTTAAATGCTGTTTTTCATTATATATGTTTCCTGTTTTTATAGGCTACAATGGCGGTTATGGGGGCACCGGTTTGGGACCTCAGTATGGAAACCGAGGAATGAAGGGGCCAAAGCAAGGTATGAATGTCACACGTGTTGAATGAAAATTACATATTACTGAATTTGGTTATTTTAATGTTTTGGATTACATGTTACTCCTCTGAAGCCTTTTTGTTAATTGTCAATCTCAGGCTATGGAGCTGCAGGTGGTGTGCCCAATGGACAAGGTGCAAAACCCAATGGTAAACCTATAAATAATATCCAATAATATAGTATATAACACCTATAAAAGAACAGACAGGCCTCCAATTATTATTATCTTAACTATTCAATTTAAATTAGTCTTTTTAACTATTAATGTTATGGAAACCCCTGTGGCGGAGCTGGCAAGTTCAATGACATATATAAAGAATATTTTAACCAATATCGATCCCTTGCACCAAGTTATGACAACATTTTTGAAGGAATAGTTGTGCAGCTGTTAAATAGGAAAACATGACCATATATTTGTTTTAGAAAATAAAGACTTGAAATCTGAGAATCTGTGAATTTCCACATAACTTCTTTTTTCTTTAAGGTAATGGTAATATTCCAAATGGGTATGGCGCCAAACCCAACGGTAAGACTGTCACTTATTTTCTAAATGTATTTATGATATCAAATACTTTTTATAAATCTATTCAAGAATATGAAATCGAATGCTTTCTTGAATGTGTTTCAGGATATGGAGCTAACAGAGGAGCTGCAATGAGACCCCAGCAAGGTATCGTAAACGTTCATGTTAAAAGAACAAGTTGGATATGATTATAGATGGTTTTTGTAATTATTTGTTTAATCATAGGTTATGGAAATGGAGCTGTTCCCAATGGATATGGAGCTAGACCCAACGGTAAATGATCGTATTTAGAGTTCAAGTGTTTTAAATGTTCCTCATATACAATAATGTTGTATTTTTCAGTGGGATGGCATATTTATGTAATGTTTTGTATGACCCAAGGTTATGGAGCTGATGCTGGAGCTGGTGCCAACAAAGGCTATGGAGCTAAACCCAATGGTAACTGATTGTATTTGGTGTTATGTATGTTTCTAATGTGGAATAGCTTTTTGCATTTTCAGTGGGATTGAATACTCATGAAATGTTATGTTTGACCCAAGGTTATGGAGCCGGAGCCGGACCAGCAGCTGGAGCAGGACTTAACAAAGGATATGGAGCTAAACCCAATGGTAACTCATTGTATTTATTGTTAAGGAGGTGTAAATGTTTCACATGTACAATAACATTATTCTTTTTCAGTGAGATCTTAAAGTTATTTAATGTTTTGTTTGACTCAAGGTTACGGAACTGGAGCTGGAGCAGGACCTGGTGCTGGAGCTGCAGCTAACAAAGGATATGGAGCTAAACCCAATGGTAGCTCATCGTATTTATTGTTTAGGAGGAGTACATTTTTCACATGTACAATAAAATATGTTTTTCACTGGGATCGTAAAGTTATCTAAAGTCATGTTTGACCCAAGGTTACGGAACTGGTGCCGGAGCAGGAGTTGGACCTGGTGCTGGAGCTAACAAAGGATATGGAGCTAAACCCAATGGTAACTCATCGTATTTATTGTTTAGGAGGTGTAAATGTATCACATGTACAAAATAAAAATTTCAGTGGGATCGTAAAGTTATCTAATGTTATGCTTGACCCAAGGTTATGGAGCCGGAGCCGGACCTGCAGCCGGAGCTGGAGCTGGAGCTAACAAAGGATATGGAGCTAAACCCAATGGTATATGATTATATTTATTGTAAAGATATTGTAAATGTTTCACATGTAGAACAATGTTATTCTTTCATAGAGGGATCTTATGTTTAGGTAATGTTACTTTTGACCTAAGGTTACGGAACTGGTGCCGGAGCGGGAGTCGGACCCGGTGCCGGAGTTGGTGCTGGAGCTAACAAAGGATATGGAGCTAAACCCAATGGTATATGATTGTATTTATTGTAAAGATATTGTAAATGTTTCACATGTAGAACAATGTTATTCTTTCATAGAGGGATCTTATGTTTAGGTAATGTTATGTTTGACCTAAGGTTACGGAACTGGAGCCGGAGCGGGAGTCAGACCCGGGGCTGGAGCTGGAGCTAACAAAGGCTATGGAGCTAAACCCAATGGTAACTCTCCTGTCTCTCATGTAGAAAAACGTTATTGTTTCTCAGTGGAATCTTTTATTTACAAAATGCTATGTTTGACCCAAGGTTACGGAGCTGGAGCAGGAGCTGGAGCAGGTGCTAACAAAGGCTATGGAGCTCAACCCAATGGTAATTGATTGTTTTTATTGTTAAAGTGTTTTAAATGTTCCTTATTTAGAATAACATTCTTTTATTTAAGTGAGATGTTATATTTATGTAATGTTATGTTTAACCCAAGGTTATGGAACTGGAGCAGGAGTCGGACCTGGGGCCGTAGTTGGACCCGAACCCGGAGCTAACAAAGGCTATGGAGCTAAACCCAATGGTAGAAGATTTCATTTACTGTTATAAGTGTTTCTCATGAAGAATAATCTTTTTTCTGTTCCAGTGGGATGGAATATTAATGTTCTCTTATGTTTGATCTCAGGTTACGGAGCTGGAGCTGGTGCTAACAAAGGCTATGGAGCTCAACCCAATGGTAACTGATCATATTAAGTGGTTTAACTGTTCCTCATGTAGAATCATCGTATTTTATCTAAGTGATTTATTTAATGTTTGACCCAAGGTTATGGAACTGGTGCCGGAGCGGGAGTCGGACCTGGGGCTGGAGTTGGAGCTAACAAAGGATATGGAGCTAAACCCAATGGTAACTCTCCTGTCTCTCGTGTAGAATAACGTTATTCTTTCTTAGTGGAATCTTATATTTACATAATGCTATGTTAACTAAAGGTTACGGAGCTGGAGCCGGACCAGGAGTCGGAGCTGGACCCGAAGCTGGAGCTAACAAAGGATATGGTGCTAAACCCAATGGTAACTTCCCTGTCTCTCGTGTAGAATAATGTTATTGTTTCTCAGTGGGATCTTATATTAACTTTACGTTATGTTGGACCCAAGGTTACGGAGCTGGAGCTGGTGCTAACAAAGGCTATGGTGCACAACCCAATGGTACCAGATTTCATTTAGTGTTATAAAAGTTTCTCATGTAGAATATTTTTTTTCGGTTTCAGTGGGATGGAATACTCATGTAATGTTGTGTTTTGTCCCTAGGTTATGGAGCAGGTGCCGGAGCTACCAAAGGCTATGGAGCTAAACCCATTGGTGAAAACTTGTTAAAATACACACATTGTATACATTAAGGAGTAGTTTCCTGCTATTACATATGGAAGACTTAAAATGCCTACATACAACGGATATAATTGATATGTTAGAAGGACAATCATTTCAATTATTTTGTACAAACAAATAACGTGCGGTCCCCAAGCGGTGATTGGACAGTTGATTTTTTTTTCATTGTGCAATTTCCATTCCAAAAAAGAAAAGGCTGCTCCAAACCTCTTCATGAAAACGATGTATCGCCTTATATATGCCTTTGCTGATCTGCTGAAAGGGCAGCACAGAAATATAAAACACTAAGGCCAAATTGTCCTCTCAATCTTAATCTACATGCAAAATACTTGAAAAAATATAGTTGTATTCCATGGCACTGTTGAGATTTGCAAATCATGTGTTTAGAATATTTAGTTTTTTGCAGGATTCAGAAATTTGTTTATCAATATCAACACATTGTTCTTTACAGGCTATGGTGTTCCAGCTGGTGTACCTAATGGACAGTTGCCTGAAACTGCATTTACTGGTAAATGATCCTGTACACGTATCTTTTTTAACACTGTTATTGTAATATTTAAATTTGCTTTAAGTTATACAGTTTGCTGTATAGACCTTAGGTTCTAAATTTCATTTTTTTTATATTTTCTATATAATTCCCACTCTTTGTTTGGTTCTCAGGCTACGGGAAGGGTCCAAAGGGTCCAGGTGTGTCCAACGAAAAGGGCCTAAAAGGTGGAGTCCCCGCTCCTGAGCAGCCGAGTGAAACACCTGAAGAGATTTTTGCAACTCCACAGGAACTAACAGAGGACGTAGTACCTGTTGTCCCCGAGCCGACGAGCGGTATCGTTGTCATGGTGACGCAAGAGAAATATCAAAAGCAGACGCCACATTTGACACCAGCAAAGAGCTACAAACAGAAACCCCAGTTCCCTCAGGCCACAGCAGCACCAGAACCAGAACCAGAAGCAGTACCATATGCACAACCAGAACCAGCGTTTCCTCAGGGGAAAGGCCCAATGCCTGTATTTGAACCCACACCTGAGCCAGGACCCATATATCCACAAGGCAAGGGGCCAAAGACCTTCACATCTGGACCTGCAGCAGAGGTTCCTGAGTCCCACCCGGCACCTGGTGTCCCTGAAGGCAAGTACCATAAACCTGTAAATCTTTTAAAAAAATCAAATGATAAAATATTATTATTATCTTTATATAAGATTAGATTAACATTACTTCTAGATAGAGCCACATACTATATTTATTTTATATTGAACAAATTATCCCAATTAATTGCGTGTAACACCACCAATTATTTGACCTGTTCTTCACAGTAATTTAATATCCCAAAAAGTATGTCAATATGATTATATTTGTACAACTTATTCAAACTAATGCAGTCATATGATATAATTCTGCACTTATGAGCTTTAATGAAAATATCTACACACATTTCCTTTAAGTTTGAATGGGACATAATATTTAAAACACACTTTCTTAGTGTTTGTGCTCGTATATCTGGAGTTGTTACCAACCCGCAAACTGTGAAATGAGTCAACCCATACCGTGTGTTTTGGGCTGTCCGGGTAATAAAACATGAGTTTCAACAAGAAATGTGGATTTTGAGTCATTAGAATACTGTATATTGCACCCAGTTTGAGTCTCTCAACATCATGATAACTTACTGTCTATGCAGACTGACAAAAGAACAAGGTTTTTCTTTAACATGAAGCATGTAACCGTGTTCTAGTAAAAACCCAAAGATACAAGTATGACTCTTAATGAGCATAATATGTATATAATAAATGTGGTTGTTTTTTTTTAAGTGGAAGTGAAGAAATCTGAGCTTTGGCAACCAAAACACAATTGTTTTAAATATGTATGCACCTTTCTTATGCACACACAGAGAACCAGCACTCTGTTGTTGTTCAGCATTGTCTTAATTATATATAAAATAAATGTCAGTACTGTATCTATTTCTGTTCAGTTCATTTTGGACTGTCTGCAATCAAAATATGGCAGGTTTTTTTCCTGGAAAATGATGATATTGCTTTTAATTGATTTTTTGATTATCTGTATACAATGGAAAATGTTCAGTGTTTTTTCTTCTACAGATTTATTTTTATGCATGGGGACATAATCAGTGATTCTTTCCATACTTTATTACCTAGATGAAATGTTGATGAAACATGTGACCTCTAGGTTTTGTGACTGCAACTGCTGTGCCTGAGCAAAAAGAGGCAGAGACAGAGGTTCTTGTGGAGATAGACAGTGACAGTGAAGGGGATGCTGCCCCTACGAGCACACAACCCCCCACTGTCACTGCAACAGTAGCAGCTAAAAGTACACAGAGTATCACTCCTGAAGTAACTGTGGGTGTGCCTGAGTCCACACCTGAAGAAGCAAACCCCGAGAGTCAGCCTGAGTTTGCACCTGAAGTAGCAAACCCCAAACATCAGCCTGAGGAAGCACCTGGCAGGGTCAGGGGCAAAGGTCTCCCTACAGGAGAAAGTGGCGAAACTGGTAAACGTAATCTTGGTTTAGGTGTGGTTACTAGCGTAGTGCATGTGTGAGAGTTGACCCAATCCGGTTTCTGCAAGTCTGTTGCAAAATTGTAGATATTATGATGACTTACACTGCAAGACGTGTGTTGTTTTGATGGTTAGGATTCAGTCTTACTTGTAATACTTTGGTCAATTAAAGTGATGTTCTCGATATCAATCTAAACACACAAATACACACCCAATAAGGGGGTGTTATCAAAAAGAGTTTCAGTATAGCTGTCACAATATCAGATGTTTTAATTTTTTTATCAATCATTTTCGAATTGTGATATCTATCTAATGAATGTCAATGAATGTGATCATATCTGTATTATTGAAATATTATTGAAATATTTTTTTTAAATTACAAAACCGTTGATTCCGGTTAATTGACACCCCTATTTTGAATGTATAAAGATGTGAACGGAGAAAGAAAAGCCAAGTATTACATTGAGAGTGAATCCTAGCCAGTGCTCATGGTTGTAATTGTTTTAGCTAGAAATATGTTGTGCGTTTACAATACTGTTTGTTTTTTGTGTTGCATGTTTTCTAAAGTTGTCTGAGAAAATGACCAATAACAGATGTGTTTCTCTCCTATGTTTCCTTGTTTAAACCCTCACCAAGCTTTTTCATATCTAAATGATCGAAATGTTACTTTTAATGAGATATTTAGGGAAATCCGCTTATTTGCTGTTGGTAAGCCTTTTGGTACATATTATACGTCATACACAACATTGTGTTAGTTAAGGAGCTTTGCTAGTGATTGTGGATGGATGTTGTCACCTCTGGACAGAGCCAGGACAAGTGTTTCCCTCTGTTTCTGTAGCCTTTATGCTAAGCTAAGCTAAAGGTGTCCTGGCTGTAACTTCATATTGACTTTACAGGCAGTAGAGAGGAATCAATCTTCTCATTTAAGTCTGGGCAAGAAAGTGAATAAGTGTATTTCCCAAAATGCCAAACTTTTCCTTTAACCTGTGGAGCAGGTTGAGAATGAACCAATACATATGTTCATTTGTAAAAAGTGTGAAGTGTTACTTTGTTGTTTGGTCCTTGTGATGTATTTGATCTTAACCCTTAAGAAGGTTAATTTGGAGCATTCATGGTGCATGATGGGACTTTTAGGTTGAACCAACTGATTTCTTTGTTACCACATTGTGTCTTAATGATGTGAGTGTACCATATTTTTAAGAGAAATAATCTGTTAATTAATTAAAAGTCCCGATCTTACAGTTTGTTCTTTACGATTTCCAGACAATGGAGGAGCAGTCGGCATCACCAAGGAACAAGGAGCTAAACCAAAGAAACCTGGTAAATATTTCTCTTATTTTTGAAAAATATATACTATAAAAGCTTAAGTCTTGCGCCACATGCATTCATGTCCCCCATGAGATCTTCACGAACTCCTGAACTATTCATGTGGGGCCATCATCAGCTCTTATCAGCTTTACTTTGTATTTAGAGCTAATAAGCATATTCACAAGCGAAACAAAACTAGTGATCATGATATATATTAGACAGGCTAAACATCAGCATGACTGTGTCCAGAGGCTCATTTTCTCATGTGTTCATGTTTGTTTTACTATAAATTCCCAAATTGTGCTGATAATACATGTTAATGTTCTAGACTGTGGACCATCGGGAGTGCCAAATGGACAATGGATGAAAATACCAAGAGCTGGTAAGTATTACATTCTCCAATTGTCAAATGGCATTTACCTGGTAAAATGTGTTAATTTATTACTTTTACCGCATGTTCAATGTATTTTTAAGGAAATTAGAAAGTTCACGGTAAAACCTTGGAGGACAGTAAGCCTTCACATGAACACTCTTATCGTCTTTAGCTCATATTTATAACCTAACATAAGTATTTGTTTCACTACCTTAATCATGCAGGTGCTGGAGCTGGCACCAACACGAAAGGTACTTATACCCTGAGCTTAGTCACTAAAGTATAATTGTATTTGACATGCATACAAGGATACTTACAGTATTGTTACTATGGTTGATTATTCTTTCATTGATGTTTAGGTTATGGAGCAGGAGCAGGAGTTCCAAACAACAGAAATGGTGCTAATCCCAACGGTAAATACACTTTATTCCTCACTTTGAATATTCAATTGTGTAAAATGTGCACAATAAAGCATTTTGCACATTATACTTCCAACCTTCTCCAGGTTTGATATTGACTGTATGCCTAAGTGTCATAATGTTATGCCATTGTTTAGGAAACGGTGCCAGGGCAGGGGGGGTTTTAATTGGAGGAGGTAAAGAAAACAAACCAGGTAAGTAGCCCGCTTATAAAACATCTGAGGTCAAGAGTTATGATTTTAAATACATAAAGTACAATCTAGTGTTCTGGTAATTTTTAATTTACTGTGTGTGTTAATTTAGTTGTGGTTTATTCGTTTATATACTGTATATGTGTGAAAAGAACATATGGCTACTGAAGCACTCGGAGGCAATTGAGGAAAAAAATCCTGTGATACAGTTTCTGAATCTGACCTAAGAAAACAGATTTTTGTAGGGTTTTATAAAGTGACATTGATCCATCTATTTATCACTGCACTTACATATTTTTTCAAATGTACCATGATGTAAAGGTGATGTCTTAATAAAGTTGTATCTGTCCAAAGGTTATGGAACAGGAGGCTACAACGCCCCGGCACCCGGCAACGGATATGGCGCTGGTAATATTTACTGTTAATATAAACACACAGTGAATATTGATAGTTTCCTTTTTCACTGCCAAGGAAATGTTGATTTGTTGTTAAAGTACCCTTGGTTTGTGTGTGCAACAGGTCTGGGATATCCTTATGCCCGAAAACCTCAGCAACCTGGTGAGTGCTTTTTATTTTTGTATGCAATTCAACTTCATAGGAATTGGAATTTGTTTTGATAATTTCTCTGTATGCTCTCAGGTTACGGACAGGGAGCTTACCTCGGAGCTGGATATGGAAATCCATACGGAGGTACGTTTTAAAGACTAAGATTTAAACATTGTCTCTTAATTGAATTTGTAAGCTGATGATAGGTAAGGCTGCATATTTGTATGTACTAAGGATTAATATGACCCCCAAATATTCAGTCTTTCACATTTTAAACTTTGTTTTACTCTTCTCAGGAAATGCAGGTCAGGGTGAAGCAGGCAAGCCCCAATCCGGTAGGTTGTGATGTTAACACTAACTTTGTTCAAGCACTGAATCCATAAATGGACATTATATACTTTTACTTGAGATATTTTTATATTCTTGAAGTTGCTGCTGTGTTATTGCAGGCCTTCTAGCTAAGCATACTTTTCCAAAATCAGATCATTAAGGTAGGTTATGATGTCTTTTTTGCAGGGTATGGAAATGGATACGGTGCTGGTGTACAACCAGACTATGCAAGCAAGTACCGTTATATGAAACCTAGTTCCTTTCATTTTGTGTGAATTACAGTGAAAGTTAACATTTCTCTTCTCCTTTTTAGGTCTTGGTCAAGGTGTACCCGCTGCTAATGGAAAATCAGGTACAGTTAAAGATACATACGATTTAAGAGTGAAGTGAATAAGATCTACGTAACATGAATATGAAACAGTGAAAATGAACATATCGTCCACTTCACTACTGATTCCAAACAGCTCGCTGCACCCGCACTGCGAGGTGGACCCAAGTTCCCATCAGCAAAAACTTGTGGGTTTGCTATCCTGGCTCCAAAATGGTGGAATGAGCTCCCCATTGAAATCAGGACAGCAGAAAGCTTACACATCTTCCGGCGCAGACTGAAAACTCATCTCTTTAGACTCCACTTCGAGCGATTGAATTACTAACAAAGCACTTATATACTAATAAAGGGCTGGCTTATCTAAAGCCAGTTGAGTAGCTCTTGAAATGTTTGGCTCTATGAAACCTGATGTACTTATATGATTCTGTTTTCTTCAAGGTTGTATCTTCCTGGTCGAATGCACTTATTGTAAGTTGCTTTGGATAAAAGCGTCAGCTAAATGCAATGTAATGTAATGATTCAACAGGTGGTGCCAAACAGATGCCTTACAATGGAGCCCCACTGGCTCCTGCTGGAATTGATGGTAAGACGTGCTGACATATAAAAACATTGTTCGACAGTGAGCAGAATAATTTATAGCATGTCTGTCTATTTTTGTTCATCTAAAACATTGATGACCAACACATACAATCTGTTTGTAGGTATATTAGTGCGTTTGCTTTCACTTCAGTATTCTTATGATTGAGTTCAGTATCATTTTTGTGATAAATATTATCTATATATTCATCTCGAGGTGTAACAGTCACTAGATCTGATAAACATGCATTTCCTCTCCAGGAATGAGCCAGTTTGAGCCTCAGGCTGCTGGTCTTGGTCCAAATGGAAAAGCGGGCAGCATGTACGGTGGTATGTATATCTTTAGTTCTTTCAAGTCTGTTATCATAAAAGAAAACTTAGTAAGGGAAAAAGCACAAATTGGCACTTAAAGAAAAACATTTGTAAACCAACTTTCTCCATGTTGTCAGGAATGGGAGGCTATGGAGGTCAGACCCCGGGAATGGGTGTAGAGAAATCTAACGCCAAGTATGGTGAGTGCCTATCGATCGCATTTCTCTCCTCAGTGTAAAGTAGCCTGGAAAAAAGGAAGTTTCATTTTCAGTTTCTTTAACTCCTTAATATATAGATAACAACATTGTGCTAACCTACAGTATTCTCTGCTCTCTGATTTAGGCATTGGTGGGTTGCAATTTGGCGGACAACCCCTCAATACAGGTAATAATGGCGCAGGAAAGTATGGTATGTGGATAATAAATGTTATAAAGGCTTGTGGACACTGTGTGTACTTTCCTAGGGAACTACACATTCACTGTAAGAATCAATGAAAGCATTTATTTTCGGTCCAACGAGTCTTTTCAATTCTCTCCAGGTTATGCTGGGAACCCCTATGCTAGTGCGGGCATATATGGTGAGTCAATGAGTATCTTTTAATTCGAAATAATTCTGCAGTACCATGAGAACATTTTGAGTGTGTTTGTCTCAACGTGGATATACTATTAATGATGATGTGAATTTTCAAATACTTGCAGGTGGTCTTGGTGCCGGCATGGGAGGGAATCCTGCACCCGCACAATACGGTCAGTGTGATGATGGGACACAACGTTGTTTTGGAGATCGAAGATTTGTATTTATTGAAGTAGCCATTTAAGTAAATGCCCACACTGATAGAAGGATTTAGTCCAATTTAAAATGTAAAAGCTTGTTGGTGAAAAGGAATCTTGTCTTGGTATATTTTGAGATGTAATGTTTTCCCTCCATCTGTGTTCAGAATACGGTGGATTACCCAACGGTGGGCAGTACCCTGGTGTCGGCAGTAATGGTAAAACAGCCGGCACATACGGTGAATAGTTAGCTTTAACATATCTGATGTTAGCTACACAAATCCATCCCTTAACCTTTATCTTATTTGTCTTCTTCCTCTGTTCTCCATCTTGACAACAGGTTACGGGAGAATGCCTTATGAAGCTCAGCCAGCTGGAATAAGCCCTGAAGCCAAATCTGCTGAAACATATGGTAAAAACTTAAATGTTGGGAAATACTCTTAATAGCTAATTTTGTACGATAAATATGAAGCTACTTCAAGCAGCTGGTATGTTTAGCTTAAACTAAAGATTAGAAACCCAGAACAAAGAAAACAAATAGCCTCCAGGCACATCTAAAGCTCAGTATTTGTGTTATTCTGTTTATTTAAAGGAATACATTCTTAGCATTGCATTGTTTTATTTCTTTTTTGCAGGATATGGACATGGTTACAATGGAGGTGTACAACCTGAGTACGCAAGTAAGTACCATTTTTTGAAACTGATTTTCATGAATTACAGCAGAAGTTCAAGCAAAAATAAACGTCTATGTTTTATCAGGTCTTGGCCAGGGCGTACACACTGCTAATGGAAAATCAGGTATGACATGTGAGAGTACAGTTAAATAGGATATTGATTGAAGACATGGTACAACAGTGAAAATGATGAATTATAGTCTAATTTACTGCTGATTCTACAGGTAGTCCCAAACAGATGCCTTACAACGGAGCCCCGATCGTTCCTGCTGGGCTTGATGGTAAGAAAAGCTATCATATAAAAATAGGATTTAAGATTGAGCCGAATAATACACATTGTAATCCACAATGAAAAAAAAAATTCTTACAGGAATGAGCCAGTTTGAGCCTCAGGCTGTTGGCCTTGGTCCAAATGGAAAGCTGAGCAGCATGTATGGTGGTATGTATAACTTGATTTCTTTCAAACTTTTTATAACACAAGAAAACTCTAGAAAAACACAAAACGCACTATAAAAATAATATCAAATGTAGTCCAAGCCATGAAACCATAGACTGGCTATTTTCTCAGACAGACATTCGAAAAACATTTTATACACAGCTTAGTAGTTTTAAATATTTAATCAAACATTTTCTTTTACGTCTAGCTGCGTCACAATATCAGACTGAACCACTTGGACAGAACGGAAAATCCACAGGCATATACGGTAAGATTCAGTTAAAGGAAATGACAGCTACATTATAATTCTCCCTTTATTTATCGTTGTATTATTTGTTTACAATGTCCTCTCTATGTGGCTACTAAGGTGGTGGTGAAGTTCCCTATGCACAACAAGCTCCTGTTCTTGGAGGGGATGAAACATCTTATGGGAAATATGGTACGGTTTATCCTTTTGTGTGTTCTTTACACAACAATCAGGATTAACATGTTTACTAAAAGATTCCACTCTCAACAGAAAACCAGGGACAGTACCAGTCACAGCCTTATGAAACTGCATCTGAAGGTGAGAACAATATTTTGAGCTTATTGCTGCTGAATGCTTGACCAGTTTTCTCTTAGAATAGTGCAAATATATATATCTGTTTGCCTTATGAGCCGCTGCCTCTTCAGCCAGATTCAGCTGTGAAATCTTACGGTGCATTAGGTACAAAGGTTTCTTTTTGAGGGACTAACAACACAAATATACCTCAGACCCCGATCATTAACGTTTTTTTATCTTCTCCTGCCCTATCAGTGGAGGGAGAGGGACAGACGCCAGAAATTGCGGTTGAAGGCGAGGGGATGTCCCTTGATAGATACGGTAAGATTTGAGTGTGTTTCTGCATGGTGGTTTCTTGTGGTATAATAAATGCATAAAGGTAATAATAAACTGTTTGTCACTTTCAGAACATGTGGGCTATATCAATGGAGAAGCTCAGCCAGAAGGTAAAGGGAAAACTGAACTTAATATACCTAATAATCTGAGTTTACAGTAACACAATTAACTCTGTCCTGTCTCTTCCTCCCCAGTTGTTGAATTCCCTGGAGTTCCCACTTCCAGCCCCACCCTGGCCTACCCCTCGGACTCCTCTGACCCCTCCTATCTGCCCGTGGAGGTCTTCACTCCTGCAGCAGGAGTCGAGGACCTGTCGGACCCAGCCGGCTCTGACGACCTCCTCCTCCACTCTGCCCCCGCCACAGAGACGCAGGGCGGCGATCAGCCTGAGGATATGCAGCATCAAGAGGAGATGCCCCGTCAGATACACATCCAGCAGCATCTCAAACTGCATTTTCACCCAAAAGGCAAGTCCTCCAGAGGGTCAAAATAAACTGAATTGCCAATTTGTGGTGTCATACGCCAGGCAAGATGTTTTCCTGTTCCCAGTCTTATGTCGGTTGAGTTGTGTTCTTGCATTATCCCTAATGTTTGTAACACATTATCAACCTAGAGAAATATGTAAGGTCTGTTTCATTTGGTCTAGCTTTATGTCTATGTATTCCCTTTGCTCATGCGTTTTTGTTTGTCTGCCAGAAGATGTCAGAAATTGACTTGTTATCCAGCTGTAATCCACATTTAGACCTTTTAAGATCTTAGTTGTTTTTGAATATAACATACTTACCCGATGAAGGGTTTTAGTCATCACACATTGATCTTTGAAAAATTGTGAGCAAACGATAGCAGCAGCCAGGCGGCATTGGAGAAACACTGATTTTTAACATGAACCCTTGTGATGACTGACTGTGGTGAATCTCATGACCTGACACGACTCCAAAATACCACCACATTTGGTATTTAGTTTTTGTTATGGTTGAGGGACACCTAATGGCAGAAAACAACATATTGTGCTTTTAAGCTACATAATAAACCTACAGATGTGAAAGTAGTGTAAATGGAAGAAAGGGAATCAGGTTTTTTTTCCAAAATGTCCAACTCCTTTAAAATCACCATGTTGGACATAAAATTCCGGGAAAACACTTTGAAATAAAACATTGTTTGCACAACTGATTATTGTTCTTATCTTCGTTTTCAGAAGCAGCAAACACCCGCAAATTTGATTTGAATGGCTTCTTTGGGAATAGTGGCTATCAAGGTAAGAACAGAATCACTCAATCCAAGACATTATGATTTTCCGTTTGTTGTGCATCTACCTAACTCATGTCTCTCCACACAGGTTAAAACTGCAGACAACGACGATTATAACCTTCTTATGCCGTTGTATATTATTTTAGAATATTTCCTAATTGTATATTATTTTGTTCTGTCTTTTGAATAGTCCTGGTGTTTTTTGTGCTTGTTTGTAGAGAAAAAACTGCATTTAGAGTTGTTAGATTGACTTGTTTATGTATATTTGTATGTACCCTACATTACCTTGTTCTCCTGCACTGCCTGCTCACTGCAGTGCAAAGAAATGGAGTTTGTCTGCTGCGAATATCAGTGTTGTGGTAGAAGCAGTCTGTTTTGCCTGATATTATCTACTCATATAAATCCTGTAAACATAGTTCAGTCTAATTTATTTTGCTTGGGAGAGGGTTTTTTACTACTTGTGGCAAATATCTGTTTATTGTACCGAATTTGAATGAAATAAAACCATCGATGAATACCAACAGTGGAAAGTGGTTGTTTGTGTGTTTCTAAACATTTGATATACAGCGTCGGTAGTAGACAATAAGTTGTAATATTTACTCAAGTATGATACTATTGTGCGAGCTAGTTGTACTCCAATTCCTGCTACTGTATACCTACTCCCATACAACTCTATTTAAAACTCTTGTATTTAATAAAACTATATATAATCAATGAATAGTTTATCATGTATTATCGGATACAGTAAACTTTATGTATCTGTGCTGTAATTAACCAACACCCGAGAGGACTGACGTGTTTATGTAAATAAAGCTCCTCTAACCCTAACCAGGACTTTTACTGTACACTATTTCTACTTTTAATTAAGTAAAATATCTAAATACTTCCAACTCTACAGTTTAGCCAAACCCATTAGGCACATGCTAAATTATTATCCTGAATGCAACTAATTTATCAATGAACATGGGTTATAGTACCATGTGCAGTATATAACAGGTGAAATACAGAATTCTCCTTATTCTACAGTGACTTGAGTCTGTTTGAAGCCGTGTAAAGGCTGCGGTAGTGCACATGGCTATTTGTGGGGATTACCCTGGATTAGGGTTAAGACCCCTTTATGACTGGCCCTCCTGAAAGCATGCCACTTGGCCAGCTCAACAGGTTGCTTGCTTGGAATTACACCTGTCCAATGGTGGATTCAGGGAGCAGAATTTCCGGCTCGTTGTGGTCATGAATGTTCCTCGGAGTGAAGAGCGTGGCCTCGTTTAGGATGTAAATGGTGAGAAGCCTCAACTCAATGTGAGGGCCTTGGCTGCAGGAAGTCATGATGGGGCTTTACAAAGGACCACGGCTGTTGGAATTTGCAAAGACCCCACAACACCTTCAGTTCAACAAGTATGTGCTCACAGGTTACCGGCCAGTGTCCACGGCCCAGGAGTGCATCAGGAGCCTCTTCTACATGCACAATGAGCTGGGGAACATTTACACTCATGGTAAGTGCAGAAATGATCTACACTGCCTTTATTTAAATCTTTATCCTTAATGACAATCTTGAGATTATATAAAATGTTTGCATTTGAATTATCCCATTCAAATGTATCTAACAGTAACACACAGAGAAAATGTCTCCCAGAAATGTAACTATATATCAGTCGCACAAACAAATGGGTCACCAATGTCACTACTCTCACTTATGGCCCGTTACAAGTATACTTGACGAGGATGTGTAATGAGGATATGGGGCATTAGCGGTAATCTCCCCTGGGAATCCTGTCCTGGAAATAACCTACGGTTAAAGCGGTCTTTGAAGATGTGTGTGTTTGCATGACACCTTTTAAGCTGTGCATGCTCGCATATTTATTATGGGCAAAGCATCCTGGAGATACAAAGGTGTTCATACAGATGGCACGCAGTCGTAGAATTACAACACAGATTTTTAAAAGTGTGCATTTTATGTAAAACTTTCAAAATAAAATCAAGCTGTGCAAAGACGAGCACGATTTTAAATGTATATAAACAAAGTGCACAATGAGCTGTGCATGAGCTAAAAGCTCTCCAACCTTGAACTTCCGAAAGGTATCTTCCTCTTGCTCCATTTTCTGCTTGACTATCCCATTAGTTCATTAACACTAACACTCTTACAAAGGGGAAGTGAAGGGCATTAGGTTGTCTGTTGGAATGGGAACAATAACCACATCTCTCACATGCTTCCTGTTTAAGAAGGATCACTATTAAATCCCTTAAATTGCTCTGCATGATATTTAAACACTTGCTAAAAACAGATGCAATTAGACTATTACACAGGGTCCACTTTACAAACTTCAAATCAAGCATTTTGTATGCACTGAAAGTAATGTTCTGCAATAACAACACTTAAGGGTAATGCTTTTAATTACAGTTCTTTCTAACAGAAAATGTTTCACTTAACTAATTTCATCCTCTTTCCCCTTTCATTTTCCCATCCCTTCAGGCATCCCTTTTTTCCTCTTCTTGGTGCTACTGCCCTTTAGTATCCCCTGGATGGAGGTGGACAGCTCCTGGATCTGTGCGGTCCATTACCTGGCCTGCCTCAGCCCCACAGTGGGCTCCGTGGTCTACCATGTGTTCATGAACCATGTGGGAGGGGAACATGTGTACGACACCCTGCTCTCCATGGACATGTTCGGGGTCTGCCTAGTAAATACCTTAGGTAGGTTGTTGATAATTTTCTATCTGAATTTCTATCTGATATTTTTCTTTTTTGGTTAGCTAGCATTAAGACTGGGAACAGCTAGCCATGCTTCTTCCAAAGATATCAAAACCCTTTAATAATCTATAAAGAATAAGGGAAACCAACATTGCGGGAGATAACATGTGACTCTTTTTCCGGCCTACAAGCAACCAGCAGAGATTCCACACAAAGTCACCACCTTCTCCAAGAAATAGTCCTTATTTTGTTTATTACAGACAGCCAAGTTTTCCTGTTGCCAAATATCCTCCCAAAGTTACGGATAATATTAATCAGGCTGACCATTGTAGCAAAAATAACCCAGACAGGGTGCATTGTGCAACTCCAATGCAGAATGAATTATTATTGCATTTTGAACCAGACAGTGTTCTCATTCTGATATTGTACAATGTCAAGGGCTTGTTGATACATATTTCTGACCTAAAAGTCTTGAAATATGGTAACAAGCCATTTTTATTTTATTGTTACCTCACTTTGCCTGCACTATCTGCTGTTGTAATAATGTAAATGTCCCCATTGAGAGATAAAGAAAGGATTTCTGAAGTCTTACATTTCACAACATTGATAGTAAAACAGAAGCCTACATTTGTATGGCTTGACAGTACATCTACGTCTCAAGTCTACACCTGTACATTTGAAACTCAAAATCAAGGTGTGTCAAATGTATCTTACTTGATATTATTTCACTCCTGTTTCTTCACTTGTACATCACCCCCCTCTTGTCCCCAGGTGCCCTCCCCATCATCCACATCACCCTGTTCTGCTACCCCCTCCTGCGACCTGCTGCCCTGCTGGCCTACACCCTCCTGTCAGCGTACGGCATCTACTGCGCCACCACGGCCCGCACCAACATCCTGCGCCTGCAAGCCTTCATCTGGCAGGCCATGTTCCGCTTCCTGCTCTTCCTGTTCAGGGTGTTCGGCAGCGGGGTGGGCAGCCCTCACTCACTGCGTCTCTTCGTCATCATGGACACTCTGGCTGTAGTGGGGGGGCTGGTCAACATCATCCAGATCCCCGAGCGCTTTGTCCCCGGCCTGTTTGACAACTGGGGCAACAGCCACCAGATAATGCATGTCATGGTGGTGTGCTCCATTATCTACCTGCACTGGGGCACTCTGGAGGATTTCCAATGGATTAAGACCTTCCAGTGTCCTACTGAGCAAAGTGCACACTCATGAACTGATAGGAAATGAAATTTAGGAGAGAGGAAGGTTGTTTTAAATATTGCACTTTAGTCTTAGCTGCTGACGTTCTTCACAAGGGAAGTTTGCAATTTGACATTTTGCCAGAGAAGAGGAACTGACAGTGTTGTAACTGTGGAACTCAAAAACACTATCAAATAAAAAATCCTGAAGACACTTGATTTTTAGTTTGTTAAAATGCAGTAGTTTTGGGTCGTATTACCCATAACCAAAATAGCTTTTAAATGTAAAATATTGTATTTAATAAATTATATATTTTTACATCTGGCTCTGTGTATTTCATTCACACATGAGAATGTGAAAAAGTGAAACAAC